GAGAGAGAGAGAGAGAGAGAGAGAACAAGAACAAGAAGAGGGCAATGTTTTATACCTGCCCTTCATAAGCAAGGATGTGGCAATTATGGACATAATAAAACAAAAATGAAATTAGGCCTAGCCCATAATGGAAGGCCCATAAACAGAAAACAAAAAATAATCCATCCCATGCTGGTCTCCTTGCTTGAAAGACCCATAGATAATCCATTGGGACATTTAAATAAGGATCCGAACTCCTAAACAAATCTAAAATTTTCCCAATCCCACTAAAACTTACTTAATGTAAAGACACTAGAATTACTAGAAATAGTAAATTTCGATTTTAGTATATATATAATAAGTCTGAAAGTTACCATAAATAGTAATTTCAATATACCAATAAATTTTTGGGAAACTTAAAACCCCATTCTTAAGACACCTATGACTAGATAATAAATTTAGAAAAAAATCCAACAATAGCAATATCCTATCACCAAAAAAAATGTTGTTGTAGGAATTGGAAAGTTAATTTAATTCTCTATGGATTCCTTCCTTGTTTTCATATCTGTATCAATTATACCAATCAACAAGAGATCATGCTGGTCTCCCTGCTTGACCATCTGAACTGCTTTAGTATCCATAACAGTGAAAAGGATTCCAGAAGGCAGATGGCAATGGTGTTTTCTTTGTGAAATCTTTTAAAACTATCTGTTTGGCCCTACTGGTGAATAATTCCATTAACACTATGTTTGGTATCAATGCCATTTTCTCAGGCAACAGCCACGCCTTGGAATTTGGTAAAGTTATTCCGGGTTCTATGCAAATTTTAAATTGATATTTAGAGCCAGATAGGCACCACATAGGGAAAAAGGAGAAAACGTTATTGCAAGAAACATCAGAATGATATTTTCTTCAAGAGTAGCTCTCGTAGAACCCGAGGCACACAGTGTTACTTGAAAAGGGTAGAAAATGTTCAACCTGTTAGAATGCTCGAGTCAGGGGTATTTTGGTCATTCTRGTGTATCTTATTGAAAGTGAAATATCTATTGTATCTGAGTTTAAGTTATGTGTCCCATCTTCTATGAGGRACAAAATTGTCTTTCTTGTAACTCAAGTTTTCATGAATAAAAGTCAAGTGGGTCGGCTAGGAGAGGTACTTTTTGTAAATCCTCTCTTCTAGTCTGGCCGAATACTTTTCTCCTCTCCTTCTTCTTTCTTCTTTTTTCTTCTCTACTTTGACCTAGAAACAACTAGGGTTTATTCACACAACCAAACAAAAAAAAAAAGTTAGGGAGAAAACAAGAGGCGAATATGGCACTGACCTAGCAGAAACGCCTTGAATAAACAGCATTGATACCAAACACTTACTAAGATAATTCAGGGAAGAACAGCATCTACTGCACTAGTAACTAAATGATCCGATGCATGTCCAAGAGTCTAAAAGAGCAAAGGGCAGGCTAAAAAGGACACGTGATGGGGTAGTCAGGAATAATTTGAAGGATCACAGTTTAACAATGAAAATGAGCATTAATAGAGTGAAATTGTGAAACAGGACTATTGTAGCTTAACCCGTATAGTTAGGATAATGATTAGTTTATAATAGTAGAGTAATAGTTAGAAATATTGATAATTGATGCAGCCTTTAAGGACCACATATGCTGCTGAATTGCAAATACCCATAATATCCGGTCCCAATTTTATTACTCTTCAAAAGAATTTTAACTCCCAAGGACCTTCCCATGCAAACATAGTAACATCCTCTTGACTAGCAAGAGGTTTCTGGACCTGGCAACTGGCACCATTCTTTGGAATCTCCTTCCTTTTGTCATTTGTTGGTGCATTTGGAATGAAAGAACAACCATATTTTGAAGGCATGAGTTTTTCCAAAAACATGTTTATTGTGAGGAAAAATATCGGTTTACTGGTCTATGATCTTGAAGGATTTTTAAGGGATAAAGCATAACCATTTTAGGCAACAACAGGATATGTTTTTTCTATACTTTCGTTGATGAATAGCCAAACTTATGGCTTTAAATGATTTTTTATCATTAACCATGTAAAGGTTATGTAATGATTTTAGGATTCCCCCCTTTTACTGATGATATACTATATCATTTATCAAAAATAAAAATAAAAAAAACGAAAGGAGATCACTCAAAAGATATTCCAGAAGTCCTATATATCTAATTTCAAAAAGAAGAATCTTGTGCCTGGTGTTTGCATGTGTGTGTGTGTGGGAGAGAGAGAGAGAGAGAGAGAGATTACTAGGTGTCAAATTAGAAGCATACCCAGTGACAAATCTTACTACATAGAAGCTCTTCAACAAAAGGATGAAGATACTCCTTATACTGCACAATGTTTACAGCAACATTAAGGTATGAGTTTACTCGTGAGGAGAGTGAGAAATAATCCGCTGTATTAACTATTTCAATGCCATGTGGAAAACTCCCCTGTCTTCCAACATTCTCCTGAAAAGCGGCTGCAGCAGCTCTCCTGCAATTAACCTAAGCATCACAATAGATACTCAGTTACAAACCCAATCCTTACATTAAATAAAATTGCTATGTGAAAATAAAGGGTTGGATAGAAAGAAGTTATCCACCTCACGGTCATAACAGGCTACTGTTAATAGGTGCGGAGCAAGTTGTTCCAAAATGTTTTTCATATCTGAGTGGAAGTATGAACGACCAAATGCCCAACAAACATAGGCAGCAGCATCACGCACATGGGATCCAACACTATGTGGACCCCTTCGAATATCATAATGTAGTGCCTGTTAAGAAGATCTCTTCTAAGTAATGATGCTGTAAGAAACATTTATGGTGTATCTAATGTATTTTGTGAATAGTTTTAACATTAATCCATTCATGCAAAAATAAGCAATCATTTTTATAAGAGAAATTATAGCATTAATGTATCAAACAAATTGAGATATCGAACTGGTGTATAGATTGCAGATCTGGTGGTGATCTTTGTAGGGCCAATGGACAGCATTCTCACTCAAGATAAGTTGTAGAAGAGAGATTTGCATTTTGCAATTGGCAAATAGATGTACGCTGTGCCTTTCAGAGGAAGAAAACATTATTCATTTGCTGGTGAGGTGCAGCTTTCTCAAGAGGAATTTGGGGATATTTCTTCCAACTATTCAGATTCGAAGGTTGGTCACCATGTGGGCCAAAGGAGATTTTTGAGCTTTGGCCAAGGTTCAATATTGACATCAAAGAAAAGATATTATGGAGCTTTATTCCTTTTGGCTGTTTGTTGGGAAATTTGGAAAGAAAGAAATAGAAGAAATTTAGAAGGGAAGATGAAGAACAAGGAAAGACTAAGTGCAGTTATTGGAGCAAAGCTTATGGATTGGATGTTTATACTTCCAGAATTTGAAGTCCTCAAAAGACAAGATTTTGGTTCTAATTTTTGGAGCATTATGAATTTCAGTGAATGTAATATACTTAAAAAGAGTTGTATGGTTTTTTATGCTTCTTATTTTTGGTACTGGATTAGTGACGCCTTGTCACCAGATGTTATTGTAATAAGTGAGAGAGGGGGGGAAGAGAAAAAATACCTGGCAACAACCAGAATTCACCAAGCCAATTTTTATTTCATCAAATCAACCCTTTTTTTCAATTACAATGAAATCTATCTATAGGCTTACCATAAGAACTCAGATTTCCCTTCATAGACTCTAGTTGGACTACTAAACTGACCAAAAACAATTTCTAATTGCTTTAAAACTAAGACAAAACCATAGGAAAAGTCAAAAATATCAGCTTGCATCTTTCTGAATGCTGCAATCATATGGGCAGTTAATAAGAAGTCAGTCAGTACCATCTGTACCAAGTTTGTGAATTCAGCAAGTTTTGCCTTGTGTGATTTGGTGAAGAACTAACTGCAGTGATCATTTCTTCATTCTATATTCGCCACTTCAGACTTTGTATTCTTGAGCTATGTATTCTAACATCTGGAAACCTTGAATTCTATGTTTTCCAATGTATGAACACATTGGATGCTATGTTTAATTATGTGGACAACAAGGTTCAGGTTCGTTAAAGCCTGACACTTGGAAGTCTTTTTATGCCTGTATCAAGGTCCTCAGATGTTTCTGAAACCTATATACGAGCTGATTGCAATGATTTCTGTTGTGCTTATTGGATTGACCTGTGGTGTGTGTTGATTCAATCTAATAGGTGTATTGTCAGTTGCTGGAAATGTCTACCATGCACAACTTAAAGGATCTTGAAGTTTCAGGCGGAGCTACAGGTTGATGGCCATTGGATAGGGTCTACCATGAGTACCTAGGAAGACAACCCAGATCTATAGTTACTACTGTGAAGCGGCCACAATCTGTGAACAAGTAGGAGAACTACACTATTATGTCCTAGCTACTGAATTCCAATACAGCCTCATATATGTCATGGTTTTTTGTTTCCTGAAACTACAGCCAAAGTTTGTGGAAGAGCCAATAAGACATCCCAAGCTCAGTTTCATCAAGAAATTGATAGCTTTCATCAGGGGGAGAAGAGTTTAGCATCTTATTCATAGTTTATTGTCTTATTCACAGGAGGGCACCTTGTCACCTAGTCACCTAGGCGATGGATTATCTTAAATAAAAAACATGAACCCTGGGGTAGTTCCCTAGGTTCCATAGAAACTAGTAACCATCATTCATTAATAAGTATCTATAATTTTCATAAAAAGTATAAATATATTCAAATATAGAAAATCAGCATATTTATGATAAGACAAAGAACAAAGAAAAGAAAATTCAGAAAATATAGGGGTTGAGTTGAGCCCCTGTTTTTGTCCTAGGAAAAGAAGAAAAGAAAAGGTAGTAGAAGAAGAAGAAGAACAACAACAACAACAACATTAAAATCTTGTTAGCTAATTGGTTCAGGTTTTTAAGTCCTTGAGGGTTCAAGACAACATACACCAACATGAGTGTTGATTGAACCCTAATAAATAAGAAACTAATATATAAATCCACAAAAAGAATATTTTATTTTAATAATGTCTATTTTATTATTATATTTAAAAAAAATAGAATACAAAAGTATTTCATTGCACCATGTACAAATTAGCTTGGCAGTTAAGTGACACAACTCTCCATGAGTGCCATTGTCACCTAGGAATCGCCTTGACAACTACCATCTTATTTCTCCACCATGCAAAGTGTGGAAGAAAGTTCAGATAAGCAAGCACACTTGAAATCCTGTTTGATCATTCAGATAGAATCCAAATCCAAATTATCACATACTTAGGATTCCTACATGCTAAGAAAAGTTCAAATTACCAAGCAGGTTTGGTAAATCTCCACTGCCAAATGTGAATGACAGTACTCAATTTACTTGGATTTATCTAATGAAATCAAGAGTTGAAGTTCCAAACATTGTAAAAAAAAATTATATCATATGATTTGACCTAATTTGAGAGCAAAATGGGGAAAACATTTTGAAAACTCCCTTAATTCCTTCTTGGAAGAATCTAGTATCTTTAATCAGAGTTCTTATGTTTACACTCATCAACAAAATGGGGTATCTAAGAGGAAAAATAGTCACTTTTGGAGGTTTCAAGAAGTCTTTTGTTGACAATGAATTATCCATATAAAATCTGGGCTGAAGGTGTTCTTATAGTTACCTTTCTCATAAACCAAATATCATTTCATGTCTTTCACTTGAGACGTGTGTATCTAATGCACATCTTTGGTCTATATCATATGAAGTTGGATCCTAACGTTAAGCATCTGGATTATGTTTTTTTTTGAAAAACGGTTTACCATTATGGATAATCCTTTATTTGAGTCTACTATATGTTTTCCCTGTTTCTTTAGGGAAATAGTAGCATAAAAGGGAGGCCCGTTCTTCCTATCCATTGCCTCCTTTTGCCCTTTATCATTATGGATAATACATTATTTGAGTCTACTATATGTTTTCCCTGTTTCTTTAGGGGAATAGTAGCATAAAAGGGAGGCCTGTTCTTCTTCCTATCCATTGCCTCCTTTTGCCTCCTCCAAAGTCAGAACTTAGTGTTACTCAGTCTCCTATGCCTAACAAATTGCATGCCTATACACAACATTGTAAGAAGGGAAAGAAAATCATGGACATGGTAGAACATCCAATGCCAACTAAATGCACTAGATATTGTGTGCAACCTATACTATGTATCCAATTACATTTTTTTCTTATTCCTCCTTGTCTCCTTCATATTTTGCTTTACTCACTTGTATTTCTCCTGTGCTTATTTCTCATGATGTTGTTGAGGCTCTCACTTTATTAAACCTGAGTGAAAGGAAACAATAACTATGGAGATGATGCTTTACATTAAAAAAATACTTAGGAACCAGTTAAGATTCCTAAAGGAAAGGAACTACTAGGATGCAAATGGTCCAATGCCAAGTTCTAAGGGACTCAGACAGGGTGACCCCTTCTCCCTTCTTTTGCTTATCTATGTAATGGAAGTTCTCACTAATTTTAGTAGCCAAGTGGGGGAGAAAGGTTTACGGAAAGGCTTTGAGGTGATTCTAGGAGGGGAGAGTGTCCAGCTATTGCAATTTGCGGATGATACCTTGTGCTTTGTGGGAAGCTAAGGAGGATCAACTTGATTTGTTGGTAGGGGTGCTCAGTTGGTTTGGACTAGTGCCGAGCCTGAAAGTAAATTAGAATAAAAGTAGTTTGATCCCTGTGGGTAATGTGGAAAACATTGAGGACTTGGCAGGAAGGTTATCTTGTCAAGTGAGTTTCTTGCCAACCAAGTATTTGATGCTACCATTAGGAGCTAAATGCACTTCGGCTCTGATATGGGAACCAGTTCTGGAACGATAGAAAAGAAATTGGCATCATGGAAGGCAAAATATTTGTCCTTGGGGGAAAGAATTACTCTATTAAAAAGCTCTCTGTCCAATCCTCCAGCTTCCTCAAGAGTTGTTTATGAGGGGATCCTCTTGTACTATTATTCCTAATTTAATAAAATTACCCTACCTTTTTCAAAAGAAAAAGGGTCCAATGCCAAGTTGGTGGGAAGGGGAACACTTACTCCAATTATATCAACTGAGAAGGAAGGTAGTAAGTTATAGGCTGATAAAGGGAATTTTAAAAGGCTACTGTCTCTTCTTTATTTTTCACTAACCAAGTCAAACATCACATATGCTGTTGAGGTAATCAGCCAATATATGCATGCTCCTACATTCGTCATCAGGAAGAAGCTTATTTTGTTTTATAGTAATTGATATCCTCAAGAAGAAGATTATTTTTGCAAACACTTAATGTGGAAGCATGGTTCAAAGTATTGAGACGGCAGAGGCATATCGGTACTTAGATACACACGGAATTAACCTTTTTTTTAGTTTTTTTTTTTCAAATATTGGTTTTTGGGGAGTTAAAAAAGGGTTTTTTTATTAAAAAAGGGTGGGGTCCCGAAACACCTGTACCCAAAAGATACGATATGATACGCCTGATATGGGGCGTATCATATCGATTTTTTGAACCTTGTGTGGAAGCATATACACATTTTAATTTGATTGGGCAGGTGGCTTACATTATAGAAAAGCATTGTATTGGTGGTAACATGGAGGAACAAGAACCAGTTGATTGTAGATCAATCAAGTGTTAAAGCCGAATATAAGGCAATAACTCATGGTGTATCTAAGTTTTTCCGTTTTTGGTATTTGGTTCCATGCACCACTAATAACCCCCCTTTCCCCAAATCAGTGGTTGCAAGAATCGATTCCGCGTCAATGCTGGAAAGAACCAGCTAGCATACCAATGAGCCACCCCTCGGTTGGTAAAACATATTGAAGTTGATAGGCACTTTATCAGAGAAAAAACAGCCTATAAGGATGCAGTCTTGTTATATAAAGACTACAGTCAACTTTTAAATTTTTTGAAAATCAGAATAGTTCACTCAAAATTGAACAATATTTTGACCAAGTTGACAATGATAGAGATCAGTGCAGTGTACTAATATTAAGATAATAGAGGGGTATTATTGTATTTTACTCGTTTTTCACCAAGTATAAATAACATTGCTTTAGGCCAACCAACTCAGCATCAATAAGGTAGAGAAGAAAGCAAACGTCATGATAGAGTAACTTAAAGATATTGGAAAGAGATACTTCTCTTGGAAACAAAAGAATTGGGCAGATATTCCAAATAAACTAATACATCAACAACATTTGTCACATATTCTTGAATTTTGTGACAACTAAAATTTAGGAGACAACACATCCTACCTTGATGATAACAGGAACAACTTTAGGAAGACTAATAGGTAAGAGTAATCCTCTGCGAGCCAGCTCAGCAAGGGCTAAGCAACCTCCATGCCATGAACCATCTCCCTATTAACCATGAATTGATAATCATAAAGTTAGCAATGCAAAATTGCCAAATTGAATAAAAGAAGAAATACAAAGCCCATAAACATTTTCAGTTGTATTAGTTCCTGCAGTCCATAACTGTTGTATCTTTAGCACATTACATCATCAAATTCAATGCAAGACATCATGGGAAGTATACAAAAGAAAATTGTAAGGCAACAAACCTCGCCAGGTGAGAAAAGTTCCAATACAGATGACAGCACTTCATCTGAAAGGGTAGATGTTAAACGTGCAGTTATACGTCCAATACCTTTTGCTGCAGACCAGCGGACAACAGTATCCTGCGCCACCAACAAACATGGCATCTGTCAATTTTTTCTAACAAATTATGAAAGCATTTTAGTGAAGTATAAGATTATATAAGAGCGATAGAATTAAAAAAAACATCCAAATTGCCTATACTTCTCGCAAATAGTTTAACAAACTGCATGGCACACCATGGACAAATTCAAAGCCACCCTACTACCAACTTCCACCAAATACCATGATTGAATCACATCCCCCATCAAGAAGGAACAGGCTTATGAAACCTTAAATAAAGAATCAAAGAATTCCCATGGGAAAGAAATGAAGAGAACATTGTTTCATCAGTTGTTTTGGTGCTTTGCACATTGCACAACAGTTACGGATATGCTTTCCCCCATTGTTTGGGTGATCAATCATAAGCACAAGCAACAGAAACTAAAAGTTTCCCCTCTTGAAGGGAGAAACAGAGGTAACCTTCCTTTTGAATCCTATTTCCAAAAATTTCCATATCTATCGTCTGGAAAGACGAGAGCTTCTTCAAGCTTCTGAAAAAGTAGATGACATTTTACGGTTTCTTTGTTTTACAGGACATAGGATTGAACACCACTGAGATGCCTTAGACAAAGAAGAATTCAGAAATATTTCTACTCATTTGCAACAAGACTAGACAAAGTCGAGGACACAGAGAGCAAAGCTCACCTGGAATATAAGCTTTTATGAGAAAAAAAAAGGTTCTGGTGAATATGAAGCAACTTTTATGAAATTAAGATTTCACATACACATCCGACTAGGAAAATAGGAAAATATGCATATATTTTCTCCAACTTATACTACTTCATCTCTTTAAAGCATAGCTTAATTCAACTCAAGAATCACAATACATGAAACACTTAGGCCCTGTTCATTTACAAAGTTCTCACTTACCCGAGTAAGTGCACTTACCCAAGTAAATATTTCCTAGGTAACACTTACCCGGGTAAGTTCACTTACCAATGTTCTTTTGATTCCCAGGTAAGTAATATAATGACCTTTTTACCCATAAAAAGCTAATGTCAAAAAGGGCAAACTTGTCCCATTATGTTTGATAAGCTTTTCCCCCACGTGGGAAAATTACTTACCCACCTAGGAGATGGGTAAGTTTTACCCAGGTAAATGAAGCTCTCTTTACTGTGGGGCCCAATACTTAATGCAAAAAGAACATTGGGGCCCAACTTTCCCCCTCTTATTTACCAGTAAACAAATAGGGCCTTAGGTTTGTCAACTCAGACTGCATAGGGGCCAATTTGCAACTAAGGCGCAAGGTGCAAGGCGAGGCATGCAGCATGCACCCTTTAGAAGCAAGTGCAAAAATACAAAAAATCAAAAAAAATCAAAAAAAATCAAAAAAAATCAAAAAAAATCAAAAAAAAGTCAAAAATATAAACATAATATTAATAAAAAATATTAACTTAAATTTTAAAATTAATGTTTTAAAAAACCTATTATATAAAATTAAAATACATAAACATAACATGTAAAGCATATTCAAATGAGAATTTAAAAAAAAATCAAACATATAAAACATTTTCAAGCATGTAAAACCCACAATCTCTTTTTTTCCTAAATTGTATTACTTCAAGTAGCTAATGTGATGTAAAACATATTACATTCCTAATTCTACAAGCCACCTTTGTGCCACACCCCTCAAGGCAAACCCAAACAAGTCCATATTAGGGTCTTAAATTCTTAGTTCTCACACAAAAAAATAATGATTTTATAATTTTAATTGCTTTTATAATTTTCCAAGAACCCCCTATTTGCTAATGTTGTTCATTCATTCTTCCTAATAAAATATCTTCTTAAAAAGCAAGTAAAATTATAAAATCATAATTTTTTTGTGTGAGAACTAAGAATTTTAAGACCCTAACATGGACTTGTTTGGGCTTGCCTCGAGGGGCATGCCATGGGAGTCCAGGGGTGGAGCCTGGGCTGAGGCACAAGGCACACCAGGCGTGCGCCTTTTGAAAGGGCTATGTCTAGGACCTAGGCGAGGCGCAAACCCTAAAATGTGCCTCGCCTGTACGCCTAGGCGCGTCTTTTAAATCATTGGATGGAAGCATATTTAAATTTCATATGGTATCCTTTTATCTTTCAAGATGGTGCGAAATTGGTTAATAAAGGAAAAATTATTATTTTAGGACATACATAGCAAAAGTTGTAGTAGAGCTTCTAGTGCTTCACGTTGGAAAGCAATCCAGAAGTGTCTTCTACTCTTCCTTAATCATGTCAGGTTTGACCTTGATGCAGGCAACAAAGTTAAATTTTGGGAAGATTTGTGGGTGGGTGAAGCTCCTTTAAAGGATTCTTTTTCTTCCCTATTTGCCCTCTCTTCTTTTAAAGGAAAACCAATCTCTTAGTTTTTTATTCCCCCCTCCTATTTCTGGTTTTAGGTGAAATCTGGACTTTCGTAGAAATGTGAGGGATTCAGAATCAGGTACTGTTTCAAATCTCCTACATATTCTTGATGGAGTTTTACTTTACACTAGTAAACGGGATGGTAGACTCTGGACTCTTCATCCTTCTGGAGTTTTCAATTGCACTTCTTTCTTTAAGTCTTTTTCGTCTTCTTTGCAACTTGTGCCTTTTCCAGTCAAAGAAGTATGGTGTCACCCTACCCTACCCCCCCCCCCCAAAGTGGATGTTTTTTGTTGGGAGGTTTTCCATTGTGCAATTAATACCTGTGATATGTTACAAAGAAAAAGACCTGGCTGGTGCCTTTCTCCAAACTGGTGCTCTCTGTATGAGTCTAATGGTGAAACTGCTCATCACATTCTCATTTACTGCTCCTTTTCTTGCCGTACTCGGGATTAGTTTTTCTCTCCCTTTGGTTGCAGGTGGAACACCCCTAACAATTTGGACAGGCTGTTTGACACTTCTACTTTCAGATGGCCAAAAAGAAGAGGAAGATTATTGGGAAGATGTACGAGGCAGCAGTGATTTGGACACTGTGGGAAGAAAGGAACTCCAGGATATTCTCAGAAACTCAGAGAGGGACAACAGATTTGAGGACAACAGATTTGAGGGACAACAGATTTGGACACTGTGGGAAGAAAGGAACTCCAGGATATTCTCAGAAACTCAGAGAGGGACAACAGATTTGAGGACAACAGATTTGAGGGACAACAGATTTGGACACTGTGGGAAGAGAGAAACTTGTGAATCTTTGAGTTTGTTCTCAGACTTTACCTTTGATGATATAATAAGAAAGTGGGGAACAATTGCAGCCTTATCCTCATCCAAGAAGAAAATCTATGGGATTGGGATCCTCCTGAGTTAAGGTTCCTTAGGATAAACTTTGATGGAAGCAGTTTTGGGAATCCAGGTCCATCTGGAATCGGAGGGGTGTTAAGAAATGAAAGTGGAGATATTGTGGGTTTGTATTCGGGCCCTGTTGGAATGGGTGAGATTCAATAACAACGGAATTGGCTGCAGTGATTTCTGGGGCGCAAAAGGCCTTGGAGTTGGGGGTGAGAAAGCTGGTAGTTAAAGGAGATTCCAAAGTCATGATAAGTTGGTTGAAACAGAATGAAAAGACTCCTTGGTACTTCAGAAATGAAATTCAAGGGACATGTTTTTGGTAATTCGGTGATTCCAAGATCAGCAAATAGTCTAGCAGACCAGTTACCAAAACATGGGTTAACAGGGCACAATGTTTTGGGGAGTTGTAAGGATAAAGGTCTAAAGGTTTTATAGTTTTTTTTTCTTTTTTGGCAGTCTTGATTTCACAATGGGGGGTAGCCAAGGCTACCCATAATTTGTACATGTTCTAATTTCATTAAGTAATAAAATTTATTTTCGTTACTGATCAAATGTTCCTGCATATACTTCTATTTTTTCATTATGTTTAGTTTAATTTCATTGTCAACAAAAAATTAAAAAATAATAATAAAATAATAAAAAAAAAAAAACAAAAGAACATCTCCACTGCATTTTTTTGCATACAGGCAGAGTCAACTTATACACCACATCATCAATACAAAACTGGAACTGCAACCATTTGTATGAATCCAGCACCTGGTAGTGGAAGGAAACTCTGAAACTGTTGTGGGATGGCTGACAGACCCAACTTCAGCCATGTGGCGACACAGAGATTTATTGAGGAAAGTCAACAGGCTTACAAGAAACATGACTGTTACCTCTCTTTTTCTTTTTGTTGATCAATAACACATTTCATTAATTATCAACAATTAGAATTACAAGGAGGAAGACAAAACTTTCTTATCTTCCAATTTCAGCTTAATCCCCAAGAACTGAACAGGAGAGAATTAGCTGATCTTTTAACCCATCTGATTTTAACTTCCATTTCTCGAACCAGCCATATGAATTTCCTTCTCATATTGCTATATCTCCATAAACCACTCTCGTCTTTCTTCAGCCACCCTACCACCACCTCCAAGTCCCCTTCAATTATGAGTTTTCTGAGATTCATCTCCCTAGCTTTTTGGACTCCTTCCAAGACTGCATGGATCTCAGCTCTAAAGGAGTCTCCCACTCCAATGGGGCCCGAAAACATGGCAGAAACAGCCCTATTCTCATCCCTAAAGACACCCCCAATCCCTGATTGTCCAGTGATAGGCCCTCAACTACCCACTCGGGCCCACAACAGGAAACCCAGGCCCAAGACACAGCAAGTCAGGCCCAGAAGGCCCACACGTCAGTCCAGAACACCACACGAATCACACGGGTGGCACCACCCAATACATTCGTATATAACCAACACCCACATATTTGAAAAGTAATCATAGACTGAAAATGCTCAGAAGTGGTTACAGTTGTAGCTGACCATTTATTATATAGGCCAATGAATGAATGCTTGAGGGGTGTTAATGAATCATTGAGATTTCTCTTTCTCTCTCTCTCTCCCTCTCTTTCTCTTTCTCTCTCTCTCTCCCTCTCTTTCTCTTTCTCTTCTCTCGTCCTCTACCTTTCGTCCATTTCAGGAGGGCGAGCTCCCTCGAACCAGCTCACCGGTGACAGAACAGCAGCGAGTCTTATCAATTGGTACAAGAGCCACCCAGATCCATGGATGCGCAGATGACAAGGCTTGAAGACAGTCTCAGTCGTCTTGAGGGAAGTCAGAGGAATCAGAAAGGAATTCCGGCTGAGCTGAAGATGGTTTTAGACAGGCTTGGCAGGATGGTTGGTTCTCTAGAAGAGCATAGTCGCCGAGCTCCTTCCGTCAACACTCATTTCAGAGAAAATGGAGGATCGAAGCTGATAGAGAGCATTGGAAAGCCAATAACGACAACGAGATCATCATCAGAAGTTGAGACTTCAACCCTAGCAACGAGCTCAGCGATGTTAGGTGACAAAATAGGGGAGGAGGTACGGAAGGGCGGTGTGAAGACTATAACCCCATCCATCGTTATCCATGTAGCTCGACCCCTGGTCCCTGTTCTCTTCCCTCTCACTCTCTCACTTAAATCGAGCCTGTCCATACCCAGCCCAGGTCCGTCTCAATTGTTCAACCTCTGGTCATCATTTTCGTTGGCGGCAACCATAACCCGACCCATCTCACCATGCCACCTGAAATCCATCTCTGTCCACTCTCCAGTTTTACAGATCCCTGTTCTTTCTCTTCTTCCATGGCTCCCTAGTGACAACCATGAGTTCTGGTTCATTGTTGGAGTTAGGCCCGGTGGTCACAGAACCTTCGACCACGAAGATCACATTGGACGTGTGCTTGTTTCCACCAAGTTACGATGTTGGCAAATTCTTTCGGTCATTGACAGTGATGCCAAAATAGCTAAGGCAGACTCAATGATTTGGGTTTGGTTCCAACAGAACCTCTAGACACAGGTCAACAACGAAAGGGGGAAATGATAGGTGATGGTGAGAATGCAAGCATCTTTAACGTAGTCATTGTTCACCTTGTCCATTCTAGCATCTCCAGTGGTGCCATATCCTATATCTAGGTGGATGTTGTTGTTGTGAGTATGTTCAGGCAATTTGGAGTTGGATTAATTAGTGCTCGTCCTGTTGCTACAAAGAAGAGATTTGTCATTGTCATCAGTGTCCCAGCCTCAGCTACACTCTCACCGAAGAAGATGAAATATGAAGATTTCTGCCGTAGTGCTTCTGTATGTACGGAGAAAATAGGCCCAAGGTGTCGACGATTTTTCAGCTCTTCAAATTTTATGAAGCTTGAGAAAGATGAGTCTGGAAGAATTTCCATCCTGCCATTTTACCTTTTTGTGATGCGCACAGYTTCCCTCACTAAGGCGAGAATTGATATGAGCGAGCTTGATGAGGATTCTGATGGTTTCCTTCACTCTCATGAAATGGAGGCCTACATTAGAGGTTTTATCCCTAATCTGGCACAACTACGAGGTAGACCTGCAGCTTTTATTCAAAAGAACTGCCGCATTGCTGCATGCAAATTTTTCTTCTTCTGTGATCCTCACAGGCGAGGTAAAGCATGCATAAAGAAGGCACTACTTAGTAACTGCCTCCAGGAACTCATGGAACTGCACCAAGAAAGTGAGGAAGAAGTCACTGATACTGAACAAGCTGAAAACCGGTTCTCATCCGCACAACGGATATGTGATATGTTTCTTTCTCTAGACAAAGTTTTGAATGGGACATTGAGCAAGCAGGAGCTTCGAGAATATGCAGATGGTACATTGACAGAAATATTCATGGAGCGGGCATTTGATAAACATGTTCGGTGTGGCAAAATTGGTGGTGGTGGTGATAATGCACAGGAGATGGATTTTGAAAGTTTCCTTGACTTTGTTTTGGTCCTAGAAAACAAAGATACACCGGGAGGATTGGCATATTTGTCTCGGTGTCTTAATCTCCATGGAAGAGGGTACCTTACAACAACAGATATCCACACACTTTTCAGAGATGTACGTCAAAAATGGATCAAGGGAGGGAACTACGAGCTGCGCATTGAGGACGTAAGAGATGAGATATCGAGATAAGTATTTTGGCCCATGCATGGTGATTGGACGAGTGGGACAAGTGGCTTACAAATTGGGGCTTCCTACTTGCTCGAAATTACACCCGATTTTCCATGTTAGTATGTTGAAGCCTTGCCTAAGCCCTGCAACTAAGGTCACCCCGACCCTTCCGCAATTCACAGAAGACGAGGGTATACTGATTGAACCATGACAAATCAGAAATGTAAGAGGAGTCAAGATAGGCAAGAAGTTACACAAGCAGGCGTTAGTCATCTGGAAAAACTTGCCACCAAAAAATGCCACTCTGGAGGACTATGACATACTACAAGATCAGTATCCCCACATCAACCTTGACGACAAGGTGTTTCTTGAACAAGGTGGGACTGATAGGCCCTCAACTACCCACTTGGGCCCACAACAGGAAACCCAGGCCAAAGACACACAGCAAGTCAGGATCAGAAGGCCCACACGAATCACACGGGTGGCACCACCCAATACATTCGTATATAACCGACACCCACGTATTTGAAAAGTAATCATAAACTGTGAGTCTATGAAAATGCTCAGAAGCGGTTACAGTTGTAGCTGGCCATTTATTATATAGGCCAATGAACGAATGCTTGAGGGGTGTTAATGAACAGCAAGAGGGCGAGCTCCCTCTCTTTCTCTTTCTCTTCTCAAGACTTCTACCTCTTGTCCATTTCAGGAGGGCGAGCTCCCTCGAACCAGCTCACCGTGACAGAACAGCAGCGGGTCTTATCATCCAAGATTTCCTTTGCTACTTCCATCAAAGTTTAGCTTTATGAACCCCACAGGTGGGGGAGTCCAAGACACACTTATAACTGCTTTAATCTGGGTACAGCTAGCAATCTCACCCCACTTCCGCGGTATGTCATCCACTGTGTAGTTTGTAAATAACTCTAAGGATTTCAACCACTGTACAGCCCTTATGTGGATCAGGGCCTTCAGATCTTCAGCACTTCTTTCTTCTTCAGAGAAGATTCTGGAATTTCTCTCTTCCCATAAAGACCAGCAAACTGCTGCCCTCAGTCCTCTCCACATGGTCCTTCCCCTTTTCACACTCCACCTGAAAAAAGGAGCAAACAGATTTTGCAGAATTGATGGAGGATTCCAAGTACACCCAAACAGAGATAAAGCCCACTCCCAAATAGCTTTTGCAAATTGGCAGGACACAAGTAGGTGGAAACCAGTCTCCCCATCAGCCTTACAAAGAACACACCAATGAGGAGACAAACAAGAATTGGGTCTCTTCTTTTAGAGCAGATCACCGGTATTGATTCTTTCCAGAAATGCTTCCCAACAAAAACTACCAACCCCAGGAGGAATTGGTCTGCACCATACCTCAGTAACAGGGAAGGAAGGGGTTATAGGATTGGTGGACTGGCTTAACACTTTAAAGGAGGCACAAGAGAATGAACCAGTAGGGGTGGGGGTCCAAATTCTAGAGTCTGACTGTTACCTCTCTTTGGGTGGGAAGATCAGAAAATACCTTAGCGGATGGGTTAGCTAAGCAGGGGGCCACAAGGGAAAATTTATTTCGGAGAAGTACGGATACACCCGATGCAGAATTCTGAATTCCAGCCCCCCCCCCTACTACTAGCCCTCTCCCCCTCTATAAACCACATCCTGCCCGTGAATTTGGCATCAATTCACGATCAAGATGCATTTCCTCTGTACTTTGAGGCTATAAAATTCTGATCTGGGCTGATTGGTCATTCTCCCAATTTATTTTGGGCTGCTCAGTAATTTTACTTCTGGCTATTTTTGTTTTAATTTGATGTAATAGTTTTTGAAGAGGTAACAGCTCGTGCCTCTTCTTGGGTTTCCTGTATTGCCTTTTTTCTGATTTAATAAATTATCTTTGTACATCAAAAAAAAACCATTTGATGAATCCATAACTGCTCCTAATAATTCATTACAGCAGACCTTTAGTTTTCTTTGAGAACAGGAGCCATTTTCGAAGAAGAATCTCATTTATATCGTTAACCCTTCTCAATGCCCAGACAATCCACTTCCTTTGTCTACAAGTGATTTCCCAATTGACAAGGTGGTCTTTTACTCCTTTTTGGAACACTCCAGGTTCCAATAGAGAGTCTGACAACTTTCTTTTTCTTTTCACCACCTTCATAGAAGCCCCTGAGAGAAAGAAAGTAAACTAGAAAAGTGGTAAAACTGAGTCTGATTGTAGTGATTCCATTTCCAAGTGAGATGTAATTATTCTTCCATGCTATAAGCTTCCTAGAAAAATTTTTCTGTCCCAATACTTAGCTGTTCTAGGTCTTCCTCTGTGTTAGTGGTGTTAGTGAAGGGGTATTTCAGTCTTTGTACTTGTTGAGAATGCTGATGTGTACTGTTATGTTAGTTCGAGTGCCTCTTACTTAAAGAAGGGCACTCAAGTCTTTTTCAATAAGTCAATAATATAATAATAGGTCTGGCCGAATCAAGGGATTA